TAGGCTGAGTTCTATTATAGGCCTAAAAAATGATTTAATTGGGTATATTATGATGGTTCTATCACATGGTTTCAAATGAGGTTGGTAATTTTGGTTAATAACTGAATAATCAAATCTGATAAAAAAATGGAATGGTTATGATTTTTTAAAACCAAATCTAGACCGAACCAAACAAAAAATAACCAAAAAATCGAAAAATTTATTTGAAAAAATAAGTATTTTTAAACCGAAATAGATATAAACTAAGGGAAAACATCGAATGTACCTGCCAATGGCGTCATAAGTGCCAGCGAGATTGCTGTAAACTCCAAGAGTATCCGGATGATACGGACCACACTCTTGCTCTAAAATGTCTTTAGCTTCTTCAAAGAGCTCCACAGCTTCGTCAATGGCGTAACGCTGAACGCAAGCTAACCCCATCTGGTTAAGCGCAATCCCGAAAAACGTCGATTTCTTCTTTCCCATTGCACGCAGCTTGGAGATGGCGCTCTTGAACGAGTCATAAGATTCCGAGTACTTTCCCGACATGTAGTACAAGACTCCGGCCTGAGCTTCGATCCCGGCGATCATACTATGCTGTCCGGGAGAATTGTTGTATACCTTCAGCGCCTTCTGCAGCAAGTTGATCGCCTGTTCCAGCTCGTTCATGGACTCGTAGATCGCGGATATATCCGTAAGACCGCTCGCTACTTCCTCCGGAGGAATCCCGAGGTTTGGAGACTCGTAAATCCGAAGGGCGTTTTCGCAATACGACTTTGCTTCTCGTAGTTTACCTGTTCGGTTATAGAGGTCAGCTAACCGAATGAAAACCGAACCGACAGCCGGATGGTTCTCTCCCTTTGCTGTCTTGAGCGCCGTCAGAGATTTCTGGTACGCAAAAACAGCTTCGTCGAACCGAGACAGAGACAGGTACGAGTCACCGATGCTTGAATCGACGAGAGCCACCTCGGAGTCTTGCCCGTTTGCAGCCATGGCCATACTGGCTAAAACCAAATGTTCGAGAGCGTTTTC